TAGTGTACATGTTGCTCTAAATCAAGCAATTGCAAAGAAGTAAAGTAGTTATTTAAAAACAATTATTAACTTATTTAAAAACGAATAAAAGTAATAATTTCCGATGAGTTTAAAAGACTAAACTCATAGATGGAACGTACCTAACATTTCCATATAATAGCCTAAACATTTCTTGTAAATATTTTACCATTTTTCAAAAGCTGATCTGGTTTTTAGTGTATTCTACAAATATTTCCCACTTATAGCCACATAGGTAGTCCATGTTGATCTTCGTCAATGATAACGTAGTCAGCATGGTACTACCCATTGTCACCAGTACAAATTTCAGTAATTTTTTTATAGAGATACAATTTTGTTTACAATAGGTACTTAAGAACTGCCTGATTTTCTGCATAACCTCTCTGTCACAATTGTATTTGCCTCAATTGGCATTAATTTGGCTAGTTACTGTTACAACGTAAGTTATATTTACCTGAAAATATGCAGAATTGTAAGGCCTACTGTTGTTCAGATGGGTTTTTGTTTCCCTTGAATGTGAATAATGCGAATCCTTCAATGCAAGTTTTAATAAGGTTTCTTGGATGTAGTCATATTATTTTAAAATCACTTGACTTTTATGAAAACATATATAATGTCCTTGCCGTACCAGTTTAATTCAGCCTTAGAGGGGTTTCCTTTGCAAATCATCATAAAGTTAAGTCCGTGTTTCCTACAAAATAGTAGCACTTCCGATAACATCCTTGTTCATTGTTTGTGGGAATCTTCGTATTGTAGGTGTTCTTCTTTTATATAGGATGATAACGATAATATTTTTAAAAAATCTCGATTTCTGCTACTTGGTAGCGTTCTATGACTTTCCTATGTTTCCTTGGAAAGCAATTACGACCTTTAAGGGCAGTTTATGAAATAATGGATAGTTTTGCGCTAGTTTTCTCGTCATGACGAACATTTTAAGTATATGGTTTATGGGGGTATGACTTGTAGTTTTCACAAAAGTTCATGTGTACTTTGGGCTTTATATTGATAAACTAGTGGCTTGTAGGGACATAAGTCCCTAAAAAGCTCAAATGTAAAACAAACTATTGTAATATTTAAACAAACTCAGAATAAAATTATCTATGTGTCAGAATCGATACAGTGCTACAATACTACATGTACTCATATTAGTACCCTGGCCCAGTTATTATTTCTAATATTATAGCTCTACTCCTTTTGTAAAGGCACAACTGAATTAGTGTAAAGGCTGCCCTATAAGTTATAGTTGATTATAGTTTCGTTTCTGATCAACATAAAATATAAACTACTCTCTGTGTCAGCTTATGTGGTGGTATTCCTCCTAAAGCTGTGGTTGATTTTATACACTCTTTAAAATAGGCCAATTTAAACGTTCAATGGGTTCATAGTTTGTTAAGACCATAGTAAAGTATTTATTTGTTAATCCGTTATAATTTTTAAGTTAATAACACAGCGCTGTCTGATGTTATGATGCAATGTACAGATAGCCGACAGCTAAGCCATATCAGCTATAGTCATGTTAATAGTATATTATTTTTCATTCAATGGATGTAAATTTTGTTTGAAAACATTTTACCGTTTATATTATTTATTTAGCCTACAGTTAAAAAAGCGAATCATCGACTGATTACTTGCCATTGGTTAGGGTTCCATTATCATGTTAATGAAACCAATCAAGAAAACAAATTCATCAGCATTGATATAGGTACATATTTTTGGTTAGTGAAACATAAAGAATCGGAAACTACCTCCAGGGTTTACTGTTATATATTCTATCTTTACTATCTATATAGATTGTATATATATACAATGCATGTTGGGCTATATTATTTTAACCTTTTTTCCTTGGAGCAACAGACAGTAGATACCTGGTTAAAATCTACTCCAAACAATTTTATTTTTCCGCCCATTGGAATTTGTTATAGTAATTAATGAAAGGAATATATGTATTGCCTGTACAAACCTATTTCAAATTTTATTCCCAGGTTATTCTCTAGAGTAACTGTTAAGGGGATCCAGGCTTCAGAAAGTGAAAAAATTGCCAAAATTCACTTCTTTTTTTTATAGTATTTTATTGTTATTTGGTTATTTATGTACAAGAAAATATAAGTTTTATAGGTATCCTACACGTTTTTCATAACAAAAAATATATTTTCCCCAGATACTACATGCGCGCGTCTTAGTATTTTCTAGGACTTCGATCGCGATTCCCCGAAAGTTGTGGTTTTTAGTGTTTTGTAACAGAAAATTTGATATATCTCAGCCAATTTTTGTCCTATCATGTTGAAATTTTTACCAGATGTTCTTTATAGTATTTACAAACTTTTGGGTATAATTATTAATATAAGTCAAATAGTTAAAATAATAAAAAAATTTTCATTTGAAATATAGTATAAGAATTTTTTTGTTTTTCAACCTTTATAAAATAAAAACTAATTATCCTACAAACAAAGTAATACCCAGGATTTCAGTAAGTGTACATAGCTACAAAAAGACACCTAGTTGAACAAAATTGATCAACTATTTTATGAGTTATATCAAAAATAAAAATGTGTTACGTTATGATACATAAAAATACATAAAATGGTACTGTGGTACATAGAGTGGCTACAACAAATAAAATAACAGTTTTTAGGCCCATTTGATATAATAAATATCTTAAAAAAATGATAAACATAAAAAATTTAAAAAATGTATTTTCTGAAGCCTGGATCCCCTTAAGGTTATTCCACTCGATAAAATCATAGATTAAACACTACAATTACGTGTCAAATTAAATGTTATGAAATTTAAAACAAAAGTTTTGAATAAATTTTCAACATATGTTTTGAAATAAAAACAAAACAGAAGTTTTCTAACTAATCTTGCATCGTTGATTATTTAGTCAATGGGGCTATTTCATGTTAAACATTCCTTCAGCACAACAATAACCTACTAATGTGAAGAAATGTAATCAAAGTAAAATAATTTTGTAAACTTCGTGAACATATGTTTAAAGAAACCAAATCTTAAATGTTTCAGCCATTCTACTTCCATTTACTTTGATTTTAACCATCTCCCACGATTCTACTAAATTTCATGCGCTTGGCTAATTTACATACAAATACACAAATTTGCAAATTGCACAGTAAAATTAATTTCAACATTCTAAGACATAACGACAAAAGTCTCAATTGTAGGTAACGTCATCCCTGGTTTTATATAGTATACAGTACATTGCAGAATTTACTGGCAAATGAGTTAAATCCAAATGTAATATTGCTTACTGGCTTAGATGAATCACGATCAGCTGTATACTATTGTATACTGTATAGTATTGAGGTAAACAAAAATCAACAGACAAATGGCTTCTAATGCTATTCTTATGGAGAACATTTTACGTTATATTATTGACTAAGTCAAAGGTTTTATCTAATTTTGTGTTAAAATTTGGGGAATTTCACTATTTTTCCGGGATCGAGACCTTTAATTTGAACCCTCTCCCGTCGTTCTACGACTACCCAGTCGCCCACAATTTTGACGCAAAGAATCGGCTTTCGTAATTAATATATAGATAGATATTTAATTTCCACAAAATCAGTTAATGTAACCAATGCGTTTCGTTGAATTGAAAAACAAAGAACACAATTAAATTAAACAGCTGATGTAAACAATATTATGTTCTTCGAAAGGATAACATGGGAACTTAAAAAGCCACTGTGGCAGAGGCCAAGGGACTTTTTCAAAAAATTTAGGCCAGTTTGCAAATCTACGCAACACGCTCTTTCCAATGAGACGTCAGTGGATAAAATCGGTTAAGAAATGGTGGAGGATTCAACCGACAAACTTTGTGTTCGCGTATTAATTATATAGATTTCATATGTGCATGAAATGTTGGTGTGAAACCAACTTGTATAACTTTAAGCTAAATGGTTTAAGTTACCTGGCTTCGTCAAGTGATCCTTCTTCAGTATCACACTACTATAGTTTCGGACTTGAAAATAAGTCCATCTTCAGAAAACGTCAATAGGTCATTGAATTGAATTGAATTGAATTGAATTGAAAATAACTTTATTCATAAATCATACAAGTATGTAAATGGCGTCAAAATTCTTAAAACTACTTAAACTTACAACATAATATCAGCTGTACAGTTCATCAAAATTATACATTACTTTTTCTGTTAAGTATATTTTAAGCTGTGATTTAAATTTTTTACAATCATCAATTTTCCTCAACCCCTCTGGAAGCCCTTCCAAAAATTTTCTTCCAGCACATGACGGTTTTTTGTTATAAAATTCCAATCTATGGGCATCAACAGCAATTTTGTTTCTATGCCGGGTGCCATATTCGTGATTATCCCCTAGTTTAGGTAACATACTTTCAGACAAAAGATTTTTAGTCAAAAGAACGGTATGGAAAACATAAATGCCGTACACAGTCATTATACCCATGGCTAAGAAATGATCACGTACGGAAACATCCCAGTTTAAATTCAACATTAGTCTTAATGCTCTTTTCTGCAAAATTAAAATTCTGTCCAAATTTTTCTTTGATGTTCCACCATAAACACTTATGCCAAATGATATTGCGGATTCAATGAAAGCAAAATAAAGCTTTTTCAAAATATCTGTTGAACAAAATTTAGACATTCTATAAATTGCATAAATTCCAGATGTGATTTTGCTGACAACATGGTCAACATGGGAGTTCCATGAAAGATTTTCATCAACTAGTAGGCAGTCGCAGCAGTCGAATCCGGGCATAGCGCCTAAAGTTTCACGAACGCAAACCGCGCAACGAGTAGCTAAATGAGCCGTAGAGTAAGTGAGCCATCTAATATTTTGAAGAGGGTTCACTTACTCTACGGATCATAGTGCCAATGAACTGTAGAGTAAGTGAGCCATCTAATATTTTTCTGCAGGCTCGTATAGTATACGAGCCTATTCCTATAATTTATATTATTCATTATTTTGGCTCGTATACTATACGAGCCGATTCCTAAATTATCAAATAATTCGTAAGCTTGGCTCATAGTCACTATGATCTGTAGAGTAAGCGAACCTTCCTACTGTATTTTTAAATATAATACACGAGGCTCATAGGCACAATGATTCGTAGAGTAAGTGAACCCTCTTCATTTATTTTTTATTTTCGATAGGCTCGTATAGTATACGAGCCTGTAGTGCTCATGTAGAGTTCATCAAACTTGTGTATTTTGCGGATGAAGAAGTCTCCGTATGGAGGCGCCACTTTTGTGTCTGCGATGTGGATCATGTCGTTGTCGATGTAGAAGTCCAACTCGGAGCCGGACTGGAACGTACCCTCCAGACCTGAAGTACCTTTGGTCCAAACGATATTCTTCATCTTGTGTTTGAAGCACATCAGGTGGATACGAAGTGCTTGGACGTTCTTGTCAATGTCTGCGGTCTGCCCGTCCATGAAGGATGCTAGCTTAGACAGTGGCAGAGTCGTGTAAAGCTTCAAGTAGCTGAAATTATGTCCGAATTAATAATTTCAACAAAAACAAAAATCATGTGAATCTTTCTTCCACAACATGCATACAGTAGTACAATACAACAAATCGATCACGATTTCATACCTTATGATTCAGTTATAAAATATGATAGCTTTTAGTTTTAAGATTGCACTCTTTAGCAGGCCTACCAAATTACAAAAGAACCCACTATGGCACAAGAAACACACAAACATTTTGTATACACAAAATTAGAATATATCACTGTCACTGGCAAGATTATTAACCAAGAAAGGTTTGATTAGAAAACATAATACCGTTACATATAATGTAATCAATCACTAAATTTTCCATGGTGTTCAAAGGGTTGGGTAAAATTGAGAGTGTAGCTAAATATATATACACAGTAGGTATTCTTGATAAAGGACTAGGCCAAATAAGGTTTGATTTTGTTTTTGATAGGAAGAGCAGATATTTCAAAGTCCAGTGGGTAAGTCTTCTAAAAAACACACAAAAACCACAATCACACACGGTAATCAAACAGTCAAATAGGATTTGGTATGTATATAAATATGTTTTCTATTGAGAAGGCTCTCCCACTGTACAGGTAAGCCTGCGCTTTATATCATAAACAAAATGAACCTAATAAGGCTATCCAGAAAGTAAAGAACGTTTCGTTCCGACACCACTAGGCGCGCCCCAATCTCGTACATTTTGGTGCATGTGCACTGGGCAACTTAGTCGGTGTCCAGCTGTGACAACAAGAGCATTCTCGCGCTGCCCGTTTTTTCACAATTTCAACTTAAGATGAGCGCTGCAATTGAAAAATCCCGCCAGTTACGAGGTGCGGTCAATGATACAGTTTTTTTTGGAAAAAAATTTAAAACCGAAACTTCTCCTCAAGTTTCACAGACTTTGTTGTTTGAAATTGTCAAACAACTAAGCGAAAGCTCCGTTATCGGGAATCAGTGGCTTTTGTAAACCTTTTCATCAACTTTAGTAACCAGTTTCATCAGTCACAATGCTCAGGCGTCCGCCCTTCGCTTCGTCATGACTCATGAGCTTCAAATCGGCCATTTTTAAACTGAATGCACCATTTTCTACAGAACTTTAATTTATTACGTTATTTCCTTTAACTTCACACACTTGATGATAAATGTCTATGGGTTTTAACTGTTTTAAGTTTTTTGTCAACAAAAACCGTATCACTGACCACACTTAGAAACTGGCTGGATTTTCGATCGCGGCGTTCATCTTAAGTTAAAATTGTGAAAAAACGGGCAGTGCGAGGATACTCCCGTTGTCACGGCTAGACGCCGACTGAGTGCCATATAAGTGATTATGTACGAGATCGGTGCGTGCCTAGCGGTGTCAATTTATCATAAGCTAGCTAAGAAGTCGACCTTGATAAAAGCCTTATTTAATAATCCCAATGAGTGTTTTACCGAGGTCCTACTCTATTTGAGACAAATAAAAACAACCATTACCTTCTGATTGTTGGAATCATCTTCTGTTGACGCACTTCGTCCATGAACACTTGCTTCTGATGCTCCATGGCTTCCTTGACGTAATCGTCTTGCGGGTGCATCGGAGGGGCGGGCGAGAGGAACTTGGGACAGGCGAAGGTGAAACATGCCTCAAACTCTACCAAGTCTCCGTACTGCATCTTGTACATCTTCTCGTGGTAGTTCTTCTCTCTCAAAACTTGTTGAATACTTTCGTCCACACACTGAGGATGCAACACCAGACAGATGGCCAACAAATGGTACATTTGCTCGGTCTGTTTTGTGACGCAAGCGCCACAGCTTCATGGCGTAAGGCGCTAGCATGCCGTTCAACCGCTCTTTTTCTTGGACCAATTTTTTCTAAGCTCAGCCGGCTCGTCTCTTCTCTCGCCCCTGTCTGTCCGCTGCCGTGATTTGACGAACTTCGAGTCTTCAAACTTCGTACAGAATGAACAATAATCAAGCTAAGTTAACTTATTAGTTTTAAGTAAAATATTAAAATATGTTAGGCTAGAAGTAAATCTCAGGGGGGGAAGCCACTGGCTTCGCAGGTACGCTGGAAAATGTAGTAAATAACTATCAAGTTTGGTTCCGCCTAACGGAATCAAACAATCCTTTTCATGTTTCGAAGCCACATGTTCCAAGAGATTAAATTGCCGGTTAGAGGGGTTGTTTAGTTCACCTACCAGTTACAATTCAACCAATTCTTGCTTCAATCAGGTTTTTCTTATATATATTTATATATTAGTTTGGAAGGTGTCAACCAAAATTAGGGTATTTAAGTGTGTTAGTTAAATAAGTGTAATCAAAGCTGGCTTGGGCTGTCTTCCTGGTCTGGGTAAAAGGTCCAATTCTCTGGGCCCCCACCACACTTTTCCAGTAATCCAAGGTAATACTGACAACCAGAATAGTTTAAAACCATATCACAAGACTACCACCACCACAGTTTGTTGATCTGAAAATGTAAACACCACGATGTAAAAAAAACTTGATTATTGTTTTTGTACAAAGGATACAGCTTAGCTTTGTTATTCCACAAAACTTCAAGAATAAGCAAGAATAAGTAAAACTTCAAGAAAGTTGGAGCTCAAGGGCCATTTTGATTTCCTTAAGATCTTGGCAACGTAATAAATCATCCATAGATAGAAATGCTCCCCGTAAAAGTAAAATACTCCAGCTTTTGTGGATAATAAACATTTGGTGTTTCTAGTGATGAAGTTACCCGGTTTTTTATATCAGGACTTTCATTGATTCAGATTAAATTCCCCATCAGTCTTATTGAGGGTTTACTGTGTATACATCTCTGTGTCCAAGTACTTACTTCCCTCTGAAAATCCTGGAAGGATAAACCAAGTTAAAGGTATTGTCAACATGTTGTGTGCTAAAACTATTTAAGACTCTTCTGACATTAATTAGTTGAGAGTTCCTTCTTCTACACAGTTTGAGCTTGAACTTTCCGAACACCAAACAAGCTTTACCTGATCATTCTGATATGTGCGGGTCTGGAACAGCTGTTTGGTTCTCTGGATATACAGCAGAATGGAGCTGAAGGTTCTGATAGCATCAGCGTAACGTCTCATCATCATATAGGCGAACCCAACGTAGTACGATGTGGAGATCTGGCATGCTGGCACGTGAGAGTATTGACTCTGTAACAAAACAAATCGGTTGAAGGTTTATATTAATTTAAAATAATAAGTTAATATTAAAAATACCCGTATGAGTACAAATTTTGTAAATAATGCTTTTTACCACTTTGTAAATTTATAAAATCTTGTCGAGAATTAAGAATAAATTTATTTGGATGTCAAAGAATCTATGCATCACTATCTAGAGACAGCTTAAGAGGAGAGTCCAAAAAGCAAAATTAAGATGGCTAAGCGAGAAAAGAAATATTAGGAAATTAGAGTTGACAGTGATAAAGGAAATGTGACCAAGAGGATGACTTGGATAGAAGGTGGATAGAGGAAGGGAAGGAAGTTGTGGAGAAGATAAGAGAGAGATGGCAGATGGTGGAGAAAAAAAAATAGTGGAGGGATAGAAAAGATGGATGAACCTACTAGATTGATAAACCTAAAAAATAACCAGAATGGAACAGGATTTAAGTATAATATGTATGTAGGCTATATACAAATCTTTTGAAAACCTAAATTATTGACTGTACCTTCTTGTGCAGTTCTATGTTCTCCAGGACCTTGATGGCCTGGTAGTAGTCGCCCAAGAGGGAATGGAGTCTCAGCAACCCGACAAGACTGAAGTAGCCCAACATCTTGTAGAGAGAGTGACGTCCAAACTCTCCAGCCACACTGTCAGGGTCACCCCCACTGGCATGCACCTGTGCATATACCAGTGTCAGTGGTCTTTGGTATTCTAATTAGTGAAGGAAATGAAAGCTACTTATTGGAAACGTTACCAGACGTTCCGTGACAGGCCGGTAACAGGTGACAATAATAGATGATTTTGCCACCTAATACCGCCCAAGTCACGGCCGCACGGAACGAACGGCAGCTGGTAACTGTAAAGTGACGTGGGAACTCTTGACCTAGTCCGTCACATGACACTCACGGTCTACTCTATTCGCTATACGGCGACGGCATGGAATACAGGTGAAAAGCTAAACAGTGACAGTGACAAGAGCTCCCGGGACACTCACTTCGTACTGTGTAGGCACAGGATTTTCTCTGCCAGTGAATGTGAATAAAGAAACATTGGTGACTTAGCTACAAAAACATTACAAAAATAATAGGGTATTTCAGATAACCTATTAAAAAAAAAAACGATGACGTTTCAGTAATATGGTGACTTATCCTATTACCTTAAATAACGACCATCACTAATTCTAATAATGGCTACAGCTTTAACATGGAATAGGAAGCCTACTTCTCAGTTATATCTAGATACACTATAAACGAGGGATATTCGATTACGGTTTCCATGAAGCTCCTGTTGCCAAACAAGCTAGTTCAGTACTTTGGTATTATACCGACCACGACCACACCAGATAATTATAACCTAATCTATTCTAAGGCTATACTATGTTTTAGGTTGGAATAGGATAGAACGATTTTGTTATCTAAACTAATTAAAATCTTATTTGATAGTCGATTTATTGGTGTGGGCGGTATGATACCAAAGTACTGCTAGTTCAAAACTGAGATCAACGTCAGACCTTTACTTCATCCACTTCGGTTCTAGTCCGTTCCGACACCAGTGCTAGGAATAATCTTATCTGGGTAAATTTAATGACTAGCACCAACACTTATGCACAACAGCAAAGGGAAAAATGACGGATGGTTTGGTGCGAATTGAGTAAAAACTATTGTAGGGTTAGTACTCTTCTCAATGCTATGAATTTATTTTATGGGAGGGAACCGTAAAATGTTCCATAGTCAACAATTACCTCGAGTTGACGTTTGATGTTGGACTTGTCCACAAGCGAGTGGAGTACATTGAGTACACTCAGCACGTTCCACACTTCGTTGTTCTTCTTGATGCAGTCCAGTTCGTTCTCCTTGTCCTGGTTGTTCATCAGACGAGCCCGGTACTGGGAGAACGACTGGAACTGGTAGACAAACTCGTCTACCAACTCCCACAACCACTGGTCGGGTAACTCGAGAGGGACTGGCTCCTTCGCACCTGTAAACAATGGGATGAGCATTGATAATTGTCTTCAATTGATGATAGTTGTTTGTTACACCAATAGTAGCCTACATGACCGACATTTTGAAATTAATCGAAAAATATCTAAATTCATACAGTAGACTCCCTCTTATCCGACCGAGGCCAGTCTGGATAACGGGTTTTCCGATTAAGCCGACGTCCCTAAAAACTCGTTAAAACGGACTGTTTACGGTGATATTCGACTTAAATTTAGTTAGACATGTGATTACTGGTCTCAAATCTTTCCCACGAGAATAGTCGATTCAGTACCGCAAACTTCCTTCCGATCTAGTCCGGTTAAACCAATGTGCTGATAAAAATTGTCCGGTTTAAGAGATGTCATTTCAGTCGAGTGTAGTCCGGTTAAACCGATGTCCGGTTAAAAGGTGTCCGGATAAGAGGGAGTCTACTGTAGGCCTATCAATTGTGTTTGTGACATACTCAAGATGTAGTTCAACAAGTCACAGTAGTTGTAGAAAGAGCCGAATCTCTGCTCTAGAGTGGGTCCTCCAGGGACGCGAGCGTATATGTGGCGAAAGTACAACTCTTTGTATAGGATCAGGAAAATCTGAAACAAAGAGAAAAATGAGCTGGCATTTAAAAAAATCAATTTAACACAACAAAGCTACTTATATACTGAGATTTTGTTACAAATTTTTAAATTCTGTTAGTAATATATTTATGATTATCTCTCAAGAAAATAGCTTGATCTTAATTACTTTCTTCTTCGTGATGTTCCAATCCAGAGAGCTGAAACCCTACTGGACTGAGGCTGTTTTAGGACTTAGTCCTCTTCAGCCAGGGAAAGGATAGCAGCAGTAGCAGAGACGTGTAAATAACGAGAGAGTGTGTAACTACGAAGCGCTATTCTGAAATTGGATCTATCTTAATTATGAAATTGGATCATATTTTAACCCTTACCGCACAACAGATATGTTGGGTGACCAATAGAACCAATATAATAATGAACGTAGCGAGAACAAAGTTTCCCGCGGAGCCTGCGAGTTAGTTCGTCCACAGCGCTGGCATCTCTCATAGCAGAAACCGGTAGGAGGAGCCACCAGTTTGAACAATCAGAGGGCAGGGAATGTTGTTATTGTGATTTTCCATCATGAGAGATTTTCTCCAATGCACTCTATCAGGAAAACGGGGAACTACCCATACCAGCCAATACACTATGTATTAAAAGGTGAGTATATTCGTCTATGTAGTATATTTAATATTTAATGATTTTATGTATTCAATATTATATTTGTAAAACAGCGTTTCTTGTAGGAAACCAGATTTGTATAAAATGTAAATGTGTGTTAGTGTGTGTGTACATCACGCCACGTCTGTGACGTCATATCAGGCGATATTTAATAAATTCCCATTGGCTGCCGCGACCACGCTATACCCGTGCATCTAACCACTACGTCAGTCCGTCCTAGTCCTGCAAACCGTACACCTTTATCCCGGTCCGTGCAGCCCGTGGTATTATCTAATTATGTAGTTTTTATTTCTCACTAGTCCCGTCTCCTGTCAAGTTAAGACGTCGTCACACCGGCGACGTCACACTGGCGATGAGGAAGTTACAGTGATAACGATGGCGTTATTAAGAACCTAATTATTCGTGTGTGCGGTGTAACTGTTCGACCGTATTTTTATAAGTATTAGGGTTAATGACCGATTACGACAACCCAGTGTTAATTTTATCTCGTGTCTTCTTTGAACAAGATACAATGTCTGGAATCATCGGCGGAATCGGCGACTTTGACGGGAGTGAAGAATCTTGGACCTCGTACGTTGAAAGGTTTGAGTTATTTGTCGAGTGTAACGGGATTAGTGATGCCAAAAAAGTGAGTACTTTATTGACAGTAGTCGGGAAGAAAACGTACAATCTTTTACGCGATTTGTGCACGCCCGATAAACCTAACGCAAAATCTTTTAAAGATATAGTAAAGTTAATTCAGGATCATTTACATCCTAAACCATCATTCATCGCGGAACGTTACAAGTTTAGTAAACGCAACCAATTAGAGGGGGAAGGAGTTGCCGAATACGTAGCAAATTTGAAGAAGATGTCCACGCACTGTGAGTTTGGCGCATCGTTGAACGACTTTCTTCGAGATCGTCTAGTTAGTGGAATAAGAAGCGACACTATCAAACAGAAACTGTTATCAGAGTCCAGTTTAACGTTTGATCAAGCTGTGAAAATCGTCTCATCAGCGGAAGCGGCGGAGAAGAATGCAGCGGCGTTGACGGTCGGCAGCAGCGGCGGCAAGGTGTTGCGAGTGGCAGCGGCACAACGACGACGAGATTCAGGGAGCAGCGGCGGCGCCCAGCAGCACAATCAAACGTCAAAGTCAACACCTCGACCTCAACACAAATCAGTGCAGTGTTTTTGTTGTGGTGGCTTCGGTCACATGCGAAATGAGTGCAGATTATTGGGTGTTGTGGTATGTCATTTTTGTGGAAAAAAGAATCATTTAGCTAAAGTGTGCAGATCAAAGCTGTTAGGTAAGACAAACAAAAATTATACTGTTAAGAATGATAAGAACAATTTGAAAACTGAAAGGACTAATGGACAGTTTAGTAAAAACAACAGAATGCATAACTTTGTTTCTGACAGGAAATCTCAGATAAATTCTAATGATAGTTGTGATGAGTATGTTGACGATATTGCTACACTATTTCAAATTGAGGACGAAATTGAGGTAGCTAATAATAGTAATGTCAACGTTAAAGTAGCTCCACTTAAAATTGATGCTATTGTAGAAGGTAAACAAGTCACGTTTGAAGTTGACACTGGAGCTAGTGTCAGTGTTTGTAGTGAGGATTTTTACAACAAAAATCTGTCATTTTGTAAATTACAGCCTAATGATCTATCCTTAAGTTCGTATACTAACGAACCTATTGTCCCTATTGGTAAAATTAAAGTGAATGTTAATGTTAGTTACCAGGATTTCAAGGATAACCTAGATCTGTATATGTGATTAAGAAAGGCGCACATCCATTAATGGGGCGTAATTGGCTTCAAGCATTAGGGGTAAATATATCGTTCAAAACCAATTTGTTGAGTGACAAAAATTTTAAGTTGTTATCACACAATGAGCAGTTTGACAAAATTGTAGTTGAGTTGGAAAAAGAGTTTCCAAAAGTTTTCAGTGACAAGTTAGGTCAGTACAAGGGAGATCCTGTAGAGCTTAAGTTAAAAGAGAATGCTACTCCCAAGTATTTCAAACCTAGACCGATACCTTTTTCGTTGAAAAGTAAAGTAGAGGCAGAGTTAGAAAGATTACAAACTGAGGAAGTTTTAGTACCTGTAAGTAGCTCATCTTGGGGGACGCCTATCGTCCCAGTTTTAAAGAAAAGTGGGGAAATTAGAATCTGTGGGGATTTTAAAGTAACTTTAAATCCATTCCTAGAAGTTGAAAAATATCCTTTGCCTAGAATCGATGAGCTATTTGCTAATTTACAAGGTGGACAAACCTTTAGTAAAATTGATCTCAGCCAAGCTTACATGCAACTTAAGTTAAATGACGAGTCAAATAAATTATGCACTATCAGTACTCATAAAGGGCTATTTTCCTATCAGAGAATGCCATATGGTATCTCATCAGCTCCTGGCATTTTTCAAAAGGTCATTGAACAGACACTCCAAGGGTTGGAAGGTGTGGCAGTATTCTTGGATGATATTTTGATTACAGCTAAAGATACTAACACTCATTTGAGTAGGTTACGGGAAGTTCTCACACGGCTAAATGATAAGGGGTTTACCATCAAAAAGAGTAAATGCAAGTTCTTTTCAGACAAATTAGAGTATTTGGGATTTTGTATCGACAAGGAAGGTCTCCACACCTCCCAAGCCAAGGTTGAAGCAATAGTAAAAGCACCTGTACCTAAGAACGTAACTGAAGTTAAAGCTTTTATTGGTTTAGTAAACTACTACAGAAAATTCATTCCTAACATGTCTACCATTCTGAGTCCTGTATATAATTTGCTTAAAAAAGATGTTCAATTTAATTTCAATGCTGAATGTATGCAATCTTTCAACAAGGTTAAAGAATTATTGACAAATGCCCCTATTCTGGCTCATTATGACTTGAGTTTGCCTGTAATATTAGCAACTGACGCAAGTTCAACAGGGCTAGGTTGTGTGTTAAGTATCAAAACAAGTGAAGGAGTAGAGAAACCTGTTGCGTATTTTTCACGTACTTTGTCACCCACTGAAGTTAAGTATAGTCAGGTAGAAAAAGAAGCTCTGGCCATTGTTTTCGGTGTTAAAAAGTGTAACCAGTACTTGTGTGGCAGAAGGTTTACCTTATGTACAGATCATAAACCATTAATAAGTATTTTTGGCCCTAAGAAGGGGTTGCCAGTTTTTGCAGCTAGTAGGCTACAAATATACGCTTTGTTTTTGTCAGGCTACATTTTTGACATAAAATATGTTAAGTCAGCAAGTCATGGTAACGCAGACGCTCTGTCACGATTACCACTACAAGTTCCACATCCGATGGAAAGTAATAATTTCCAATGGCAAGGCACATATTTAAATTGTATTTTTGAAAGCTCAGTGCCACTAACCTTTGAACACGTTAAAGTCGAAACGCAAAAAGACCCTATTCTACACAAAGTGTGTAGCTATGTCCTGCATGGATGGCCTAGTTTTTTGCCGGAAGAGAGAGGTAATATGTTACCTTATTTCCAAAGGAAGGAAGAATTGACTGTAGAAATGGGTATTTTAATGTGGGGTTACAAAGTTGTGGTTCCTAATTCTATGAGGGATTATGTTTTAAAAGAGTTACATTGTAGTCATATGGGAATCGTAAAAATGAAGTCAGTGGCAAGGTCGTATATTTGGTGGCCAAATATAGACCAAAACATAGAAGCCTTAGCAAACAGCTGTTCTTCCTGCCTTATGGAACGTTCTAACCCAACTAAAAGTTTCTTGCATAATTGGCACTATCCATCTAAGCCTTGGGAAAGATTACATCTGGACTATTTTGGACCAATAAGAGGCAAAATGTTTTTAATTGTAGTTGATGCTCATACTAAGTGGCTGGAGGCTTTTGAAGTAGGTTCCACCTCAGCCAAACAAGCAATTGTACATTTAAGAGATTTGTTTGCTAGATTTGGTTTGCCAGTAACTTGTCACAGTGACAATGGTCCACCATTCACATCACTTGAGTTTAAACATTTCCTAAAGTCAAATGGAGTAATACAAACTTTCTCACCTCCCTATCATGCCCAATCAAACGGCCAAGCCGAGAACTCAGTAAGATATGCTAAAACTAAGCTTAAATATGCACTAAATGACAACACTGATTTTAATGTTGCTCTAAGTCGTATACTGTTTGACTATAGAAACTCCGTGCATGCTGTTACCAATGAAACTCCAGCTATGCTGATGTTTAAACGTCCCCTAAGGACCAGGTTAGATTTGCTAAAACCTAACTTACCAAGTCATGTTGAGTGTAAACAAAACAAACAAAGAGAGTATTTTGGTGGCAGTAAAACCAGAGTTCTGTACCCAAATCAGTCTGTATTAATTAGAGACTACCGCTCAAAAGATAAATGGGTAGAAGGTACTGTACATAAAAGATTGAGTAATGTTTTGTATGAAGTTAGACTAAGTTCAGGTGTTGTTTGGAAGAAACATATTGATCAATTGGTAGGTTTGCAGGGAAGTAGTAACAATGACAGGAATGCGCAACCTGAAACCGTATGTGAGCCGGCAGTGGTACCATCAGCTGATCCCCCCAAAACTCCGTTACAGCAATCCCACTCCCAGTCTAAAAATAGACACAGTATAACCAACCGATCACCTGATCGTAGTACTCCTGCTACACGTCATACTTCCTTCCCCTCCTCACCTAGCACTCCCATGGTCCGTTCTCCACAACAATCGCCCATTGTACATCCCCAAACACCTGTTACTACAACAGCACGTAGATATCCCAGTAGAACAATAAAACCAGTCGAACGCCTTGATTTGTAAAAATTGTATGTGTGATTTTTGAAGTTTGTTTTTGAAATTAATAGTTTTGTTTTACTTGTTTTAAACTTTTATATTTGCTGACATGTGTATACAAATTACACGGGAGGGATGTAGTATATTTAATGATTTTATGTATTCAATATTATATTTGTAAAACAGCGTTTCTTGTAGGAAACCAGATTTGTATAAAATGTAAATGTGTGTTAGTGTGTGTGTACATCACGCCACGTCTGTGACGTCATATCAGGCGATATTTAATAAATTCCCATTGGCTGCCGCGACCACGCTATACCCGTGCATCTAACCACTACGTCAGTCTGTCCTAGTCCTGCAAACCGTACACCTTTATCCCGGTCCGTGCAGCCCGTGGTATTATCTAATTATGTAGTTTTTATTTCTCACTAGTCCCGTCTCCTGTCAAGTTAAGACGTCGTCACAACGGCGACGTCACAGTCTACAGCGCATAAGGGTTAAAATGTTGCATTATTATTAACTTAGAAAATTAGTTTTGAAACACTAATGCCAATTCTTGTGTTAATTTTATGGCGGATACCTGGCAAATTATCATGATATTTACTACCTGACCGTAACTTATGTCTTCATTGTCCCTATATTTAGCCCTTTACATTACCGTAACTTACCTTCATTGTCTCAATATTCACTATATTACTGTGACCTACCGGATCATTGTCTCAATATTCACTATATTACTGTGACCTACCGGATCATTGTCTCAATATTCACTATATTACTGTGACCTACCGGATCATTGTCGACAATGTGAGCTACCTCTTCCTCTTCAGGCCAGGGACGCTTGTCGAAGAACTTCTCGGTCAGTTTCGGGAATCTATTACGACAAAAGATCTTGTTTGACACCAGATATACAATCTACAGCTGTTTTAACTACGAGGCTATTATCATATCAAATTCTGTAAACTAAATGTTCATGTTTTAAGTTAGAGGCGACTACTATATTTTACTGTAAAACTATAGTTATTTGATAAAAAAGGTTATTACCAAGTAAAAAAAGATTTAAAAAATTTTAAGAATGCTTACTTGACACCTAAGTTATCAAATGAACAAATTCGTAATACTAATGAATAAAGATTATATTATTGTTGATTGATTAATTAATTACTCAGTATGGGGTTAGTCCACTCAGGCTAGCAGCTCTGTGGATGCCTAATCGTAATGTGTCAAGGGCGGTTCCAGAGAGGGGGCCATGGGAGCCATGGGAGCCATGCCCCCCCCCCCCCCCCCCCCCCCCGAGAATGTAGATAAACAAACTTAAACTCCAACCATAATAATTTTTTTTTAAAATTTTTTATGTGAGTAGGCTATCAAGTACAGATGTATTCATTAGGACAAGAATAGGTAGCACAGGTAAGGCGGAGCTGGCGTTTACGCGGAAAATAGTATGGGAGTGAGAGCGCGATAGTCATCGTCGTACTCAAGTTGAACTAGCCTGGGCCACACTCATTTGCCACAGGTGCGCGGTGCCGCCAGCTCGTAGTTAAACGGGTAATGTTTTTAGGCCGGCGCGTAGTACACATTGATGACTCATCACCATCACGCCATGTGACGAGCATCGATATAGTAGTTATATATCGATGGTGATGAGTAGCCAATAGCACTGGTAGCAGCACTGCTGTGGTAGTAGTAGCAACCAGCCGACTACAACACTACAACACTGCGACTAGCGAGTAGACACTGAGTAGAACAGTGGTTGAGCAGTTGTCGAGCAGCAGTGAGAGTGAACTGAACATCTATGGAATTTGAATTTATGCTACGTTGTCACTAGTTGATTTTATACCCTTGCATTGTGATTGGTTATTTATGGGTTCTTCGTCAGTATTTGAGTAGTAATAATGCAGTATCGTAAGCACAACTTTAATAGATTATAGGTCTCTGTCGGTAAATTCAATGGACCATGGGCGCCATATTGAACCTACAATTTCAATTTCCTAAATTAGCCGAGCCTGAAAAAAATGTTTCAAGCTGATACCTTACAAGCATTTTGCAGAGGTTTGTTTTCAACGCAATACAATTGTAATTATTGAGCTCCCATATGCATTTAAGGATATTTTTAAAGTAGCCTATTAAATCTGTGTACATAACCTCAAAAAATTAACAAGGACCGCACATAGTCGTCGACTATGTGCAAAGTTAGAGGTAGATAAAGAGGAATAGATTATAAAGGCCAACTTGTATAGTTTTTCATAAAGCCCAAAATCTCTTGAACACGTTGATTTACTCAATGACACAAACCAATTAATTACACGGCTTTACATTGTATAAAACTATTAGACTTCTCATCTATACAAGTAGATCAGCCAACTGTATTAGAGAGTGTTTTAGGCCTATGTGGATTTTTTGCTCGTCTATGATAAAACTAAGAGCTTGCAAAGGCACCCGAAAACAAGGCTAGAGATATCCCCGAAAACGGGCAAATGACACTACTTGCCTATGCTAGGTAGGCTATTTAGTCGACACGAGACACTCTGGTGTGACGTACAAGTACTACACCTTAGAACAAGCTTCACATTTTAACATTGGATGTGAAGTTTTTTTTTTGTGTTAGCTTATATACGGTTCAACATGCCTGATGAGTTCACTGGAACCACTACATGCGCCGTCCGTATATCCCTGCCGAAGTCGGCACCAGGTGGTCAAGAAGTTTAATTTTTCTTGAATTGTATCAATAAACCTAACCTAAAACTAGGTTCGAGTTTGACTGTTCGCACTTTGTTGCTGAAGAAATGTTCATGAAATTCCACAATTATTCTTAATAAGGCAATAACCTCAAATGTTACATTTTTTTAAATTTTAAAGCTAGGGTCTCAAAATAGCTTTAAAAACGCTAATTTCAGCACATAATTTTCAAAAATTTCTGGGGGAGGACCCCCGGACCCCCCTGTCTGCCAGGGGGGTATTCCACCCCCCAGACCCCCCGGTGGCCCCCCCCCCCGAAACTCAGCCCTGGAACCGCCCCTGTAATGTGTTGTAGTACGTTTGAGGTTGGCAATATTTGTTGACTTATCTACCCTTCTGCACAATAAGCTTGAGTTGACGTTTGGGGACCCTGAGTCTATCCCCTTACATTTACAATCCCCACCCTTTTGCCCAGCATTTAGCAGTACAGTAGGCATTAGTTACTGAGGACTTGTTAGAATCTCTCAGAATTAGAACTCAGTGCTGGCTAGCCTATCTGTTTAGTTTTTGTCAACTACGTCTGCAAACAGGCCAACAGCGTAGGCCTACAGTAGCCTAAATGCGATACTTAGGTAAATTCTTTCCTGTTAAGTATTTAACAGAATCTGCTCATTTTCTTTCGCTCATTCACACTTAGTGCATACGCCGATCTCGCAACTAGCCGTGTCCTGTCATTACTTAAACACAGAGAATGTGTTCAAGTAAAAAAATCAATGTACGGTAGCCTAACTTATAAGGGTGATTTTATAAACTTAAGCCTAGGCCTACCACTAATCTATACAGTAGAACCTCTTTAATCCGAACTAATTGGGACCAGGGGCAGTTCGGACTATTGAATAGTTCGGAATACAGAACATATTGTTGTTTTTACATAACATAGCTAAAACATGGCTAAAATTGATCAAAATTATTTTGGGAAAAGTGAAAAAATGTTTTATAAAGTAAAATACAGTGTTAATTTAATACAGTAGTAAACATGGTGAATAAACAGTACTGTAAATTAAATACAGTATACAATAAAGAACTGCTGTAGGCCTACTGTATAGAGTACAGCAATGAGGGGTTCAGATTAGTGGATGTTCGGATTACGGGGGTTCGGATTAAAGAGGTTCTACTGTATCCTAGAAATCTTGCTTCTAGGCCTAGTTGGGTCTTTGCTAAGTTGACCGAAGTTCTCTGAGTTCTCTACTTAATTGTCTGCGTCCTAAAAGTATTACTAGGCCTAACCCCATAGCTTAAGTTACTGTAAAAGTAATTTCCAATACTCACGTATTCTCATAGATGTTCTGCAACTCAAATATCAATCCTTCATTCAAAGTGTTACAGAAGTATTGAAGAAATTTCTTGACCATTTCAGGGACTTTAAAGTGCTGACGGTCATACTCAATGTCTCTTTGAGGATCTCCCGTGTGAAGGTCTCCGTAGTCGTATTGACTGTACTCATATGCTCCATATCCCTAAAATAAATAGATCCTGAGTAAATAACCACAACATCCTTAGTGATTTAACGAAGAACTACGGTAGTTAATAAGTAATTTCTCGGCAACTTCAGTTTTGCTGTGACTAACTTAACTTATCTTAACTTAGCTTAACAAGGCCATTCCTTCACAAAACTCACAATGTTTTTAGTTCATTGCATCTTCTAACCAAGTTTAAAGGTTAATCAAAGACTAAACATAAACCCCAAAAAAATGTCATCCTTACGGATCAGTAAGACTAGACATGTAAGGTTGTGTCCAGAATCAAATGTTGGAAATCTTTCTGCATAACATTAACTTCAAAGCCTGTTTTCATACGCGCTGCAAACCAATACCTCCCCAATTTATATATTAGGCCTAGCGACAAAAATAACATTGTTGGTGATTGCTGCGAGTAGGCTTACGACCTACATTAATATCTAATAAGTTATCAGAAAAATATTTATCAATTAGGCTATTGAGATGGGGATGCCATCTAAGGCTACGATTATACTAGGACGCTGGCGTCCGGGACGGTAGCGAGGCATTATAAATCAAAGGGGGCCATTATTTTAGGGATGCCAGCGTCGGATGCTAAAAAAGCCACCGAATTTCACTAGGAGGCTGAAATTCAAGCATCCGGTGACTTTTTGCCTCCCGGGATGCACAAAATCGGTTGTGGGGCATTGGTTCAAATGTGGCACATTATACTAGGCGGCAAGCATCCGAGACGCTCTCTTTCGACATATGCGCGAATATAGGAAACGCTATTACCATAGGTCGCATGGTAAGACCTGGACCCGGGACTGATCTCCTTTATTATTTATTTATTTTCCAATAACTTAATCATAACATCACATTCAGACAGGTGATTCGTCATTGTTAAGTACAATATTTTATAGTCTTTATTATACTAAAATTATTACTTAGTTGAGTCTTTGTACATATTATTTAGGCCTACCTTGGTCAAGAAATGTTCAGTTTTCATTATTGTTTATAGGCCTAATGACTTTTTCAATAAAATGTAGGCCTAGCCTATTAGGTAGTATTTGTTATTTTGGAATAAAGAACTTGACTTATTTCTACAAAATGCAAAGGTTACATTACCTACTGGAAAACTACTTGCTAAGTCAGTTTCTAGCTTTCTATAAGTTAATTTTGATTAGTGAACTACATTAATGACTAATCAAGGAAAACTCAGCAAACTTGCTGAGGACCGACACTCATACCAGACACGATACACCCATCTCCTTGACCTGCCTAGATGACATCTTCCTTGGACCCCCCAAAAGGGCTAAATACCCTTACTTTACCAGCAAGCTCTACAACAAAATCCCATCTGAAGTGTGCAAGCTAGACATGAGAGCTTTTAAAGACAAACGAGGAACTATTTGGTGCGCAGATCTCTGTATTCGTTGAATGAGCTAGCCCTCCAAGTGTCCATAGTTTAGGCCTTAATGTCCACCTATTTTTGGCGCATTTGCAAGGTTTTATTAAAACGGATCTGAGAAGCTTAAAACAATGTTAATTCTAATGTTCTATATACCATTTTGTTTGGAAAATCATGGGCTTCAATATTATTGAAACATAATTGAAACATATAAAACATAAGGAACATTTTTTCAAAAAAAAAATTTTTAGGTAAAAAAAATATAATTTCGAAAATTTTCAAAAAAAAAAATAAGTTCGCGCTCAATGAAATTGTATAAATTATAGGCCTATAAATATTTGAAAATAGCCACTTTGTTCTAAATTTTATGAGGATTACAAATATATAATAATATAAGGAAGTAGATTTGCAAATAAATAATTTATGGGCAAAAAACTGATTTCAGTACATAGCGTTTAGCTAAGAATGCATAGCCTAACCATAGCTAGGAATCTGGCTGACAATTTAATCAATATCACTACCTACTTCTTCAGGATCATCAACCAGCACTTCAAAACCACTTAAATCTTCTTATAATGCACCACGTATATCACTACTTTTGATTTTTAACACTAAAACAATGATAAACATAATAAAACACATCAGTCATCGGTCCGGGGGAACCTAGCTGTTTACAAATACACGCACGTCAGCTGTCTGCTACAATATTTTCGGAACTAAAATGAATAGCGCTTAGAGACAGACCTCTGGAGAAAGCTTAGAATATTACGGAAAGAACGATACCTAACTCGATCCAGTTCAATCCGATTCAGTCAGTCATAGAGCCTTCGCCGTAAACGATGTCTGCGTGTCGAAAAATCGACAAGTAACACTACACAAAGTGTGCTGCTTGTCGAATTTTCGTCAAGTAACACTGGGAGGGCTAGAGAACTCACCACATTTTGCCAACCCGGCACTACCATTAGGTATTATTTTTATTACCAGTATTAGTTTTAAATTTGACCCAATCTTTCCGACTTTGTCGGTCACCGATGCAGTATTCAAGTATGGTAAGTAAGTTAGTGGGGTAGACTTCCGTATCTGTTAGTACAAATAACCGAGTGAAATTATCGATCGATATATCGATTATTCGATATAGGCTATCATTTGTTTATATAGTTAGGTAAGGTTAACCTAACTAACCAAACGAAATAATCGATATTTTCACTATGTTGTTTGTGCCAATAGATACAGAAGTCTACCCAGTTAGTGACTAAGAACCACACAACTTCCCATCTGGTTGCACTTATTTCTGTATATACTTATAATAACTGTTAAGAATTAAGGTCTTAAAAGGATAAATGCTTGTACAAAGCATGAGAATACAGCATTTTCACTAACCAAGAGTAGGTAGGTATAGCAAGCTAGAAACTAACTTAGCAAAGCAAGTAAAATCTTTCTACCCTATGGTTCAAGCCCAAGCCAGAGGCCATGGCACTTGGATAAAGTGAACACGTCTTACCTGATCATAATCATCATAGTTCATGATGAAAGACTAAGTTTCAATAAAATGATGTAAAACAAAAACGATTTGATAACTTTCTACTTAATTAATAATATACAAATTCTACACGTGACGTGAGCGTATAAATTGTTAAAGGCGGCTTACTGAAATGAATGCCTATTGCCTAACCTAAAAACAAAAACTTGCTCTTGCCTAATTGCCTTGCTTTTTTTAGAGAGAGAATTTCTGTTTCTGTTTGCTTACTTTTCTTCTTCTTCTTTGTTTATAAAAAGCTGGCTTATTAAACTACCATGTAGTTATACTATTTTAACTTAAAGCTATCACGACACGTCTGTTTCGGTTTCTTTTTCGTAGTCTACAAGTCTACTCTACATACACCTGAAAAATATGCAGTAATATGACATAAAAAGACATTCACACACAAAATATAAATTTATGGCAAATATTACTGTATGTATAGTGGTATAGTTCGATAAGGTGTCGAACTTAACATACATAGAACCATAGATTAGACATACTCCTCAAGGAAAATGTTTAATCTATGATAGAACTTAACAAAAGGTGTCGAGATGATCCAGACAAGTGCTGTCGATATCTGGAGCTAACTCTTCACCTGAGAGTTTTAGAGTGTGTTAGAAGAACATTCCAAATATCAAAGTATATTCCAAAGAGCAAACATTATAAACTCAATTCTAAATATATAAATCAATTAGAGGCTCAAAATTATGTGACCTTTCAAAATAAGTGGAAACCCGACCAAATCTGAAGTTAACTGAGTAAAAATGGAAACTACCTACATTATATGGAAGTTAATTAGAGCTATGAAATCAATTAAAACTTTATATTATACCTATTATGATTATGTGAAAAGTTTATAAAACAATTAAAATATATTCAAGTATTTATCAGAAAAATTTGAACACAAAAAGGCAGGAATACTAAAGTTTTTGCTTTTAAGGTAACGATTTTTTAAGCTGATAAGGTATAAGTAGTAAGTTTTATGAAACAGTTTCGCTTCATTTAACTACAGTTCTTAACACAGAACATATTTAGATGTTTGTATAAAAAAAAATATATTTTATAGTTTATTTACGGTATATCATTATTGCGCTGATAATTTACAGGCTAGAAGCTGCTTAATATTTGTTGACAGCAAAATGTTGTAATCGCCCGAGACTTTTATCGGACAAAGTAAAAAAATGTGTTCTAAAATATGATTTTTTTTTCTCACCACACTAATACAGGAAGATGGGATTTTGATTTTATTTTAATAGACCTCACTCAAATATTAGTCTGAGGTACAATCCCAATACACTATAAAACAACCACCATATTTAGGTACAAAACCCCCTCAAAAATGCCACCTACAGATATCCATTATAGATCGGTAGACGTCTATCCTAGCATCTAAAGTCAATGCTGCTGCCTCATAAGCAGCTGGATTTAGTGCTAGTTACTGTACGATGTTGTAATGGAAACACGCTGAAACGGCTTTTTAATTTAATTTCAATCATGAAAATATTACGATTTCACTAAAAACAGTATTTATTAATTGTTTGATCAACTTCATTACACCACTGCTTGTAAATTTATCTCTTACAAATACAACGGATAGTTAGATAAGTTTTAAACAAATATTTCAAATGTTATGCCATTATTACTCACCAATATTTCGCAAAATGTATCGAATAATACTCTCAAGAAGTGTTGCTAGTGTTAAAAAATGCTACAACCTTGAATCATTGATTATTTTATGCACGAGATGATAATATGAAGTTTTTAATTTGGGAGATTCTACTCTACCAGATATATAAAATTAGGTTGTTTTATTTCAAGACAACGCTGACAGTTGATAAACTATATAATTTTTTAGTAAAAAAAATATTATTTGGTAATTAAAAAGGCACACATATTTCCATTCGCCCCAAAAGTATCATCACTCATCCCCGTAGTAATAATTAGTAATTTAGTGATTAGTAATAATTAGTACCTAATAAGTTTATGGACACTCCAAAAACACAGAATTAATATTTACTCATTTAGTTGCGATAAGCAAATAATCAGCGCTGCACCTGATGTTATCTTATCGCAAGAGGTTGATGTAATATTCATTTTATAGATTGGTACGCCCGAATTGGCGGCCTCTTCCGGTAGCATTTAGATTTCCCAGCTTCACTTTCCTTTCCTTTCCTTAACGCCATATTGTTCTGTTAGTCTTTAAACAAGGGTCCCATTTTTAGCGATTTAAAATATAATTACTTGTTTTATAATTGTGAGATTTGATAATATTTTGTCAAGAAAACTTTTAATAACATGTAGAGTAAGTAATTTTTGAATAATTCTCATTGGGAACAGGGTTTTGTTGTTGATTTCAATCAAATACGTCTAGGTACCTCAGACTAGGCCTGATATCACCCATATTTGGATTTTATTGTTTTTATCAAGGGTAATTGCATTATTTGTTCGCAGCGAGCGTGCGTGAATACAATAATAATAATAAATATATGTTGGTATGTGTTTTAATTGACGACGAATATGATAATTTGTGAGGAATTGCTATTTTTAGTTTTGGTTTCATCTTTAGACTTGATAACGAAGGCCGCCGTTGAATTATGTTAATTATTCATTTTTTAGTGATACATTTTTTGGAGATGTTTTATGGTTGCTTATAAGTGAATTTTATGTAACAGCCTATGTTATGTTTGATTTACCGTAAATAATACTATTTGGTAATTAAATATTTTTTATCTACGAACTAGCTGTGTACCCGTTCTACGCACGGGGATCTTATAATATTCAGTTGAAACCTTCTTATATAAAGAACAGCAGTTGGTTTGCATATTTTAAGATATGCTGGCCAAACTATTATACATAGCTTCATTTTATGTTGTTTTTTGTTGTTCCGGATCGGTATGACAATCAATAAAAGGTTAAATTACCTCTGTGTCTGCCGGTCGATCCTATAACGGTAGGCTTACTTTTATTTTTACTATCTGATCTCGTTTGCATGGCTCAATCACGTCCTGGTTGAAGTTCGTTCGCTACGCTCACTCACCTGTATGTTGGAGCTCGTTCGCTGCGCTCACTTTCCTTCAGGTTAGCTCGTTCGCTACGCTCACTTGCCTTCAGGTTAGCTCGTTCGCTACGCTCACTCGCCTCCAGGTTGCAAATTAGCTGTTGTCATAAATGTAAAAGAAATAATAGTGCTAGTGCTGCACCCTGTTGGTAATCCTTGTAACTTTAATGCTATTGAACATCACAGAACAGAACCAACTTGTTTAATTGAAACAGCTGTTAAGATTCAATAATTTCATTTCTCATAAGGTTAACATGGGCTTCCAGAAATTCCACGTCAAAAATCGACAAAAACTTGATTTTCAAGGGTTTACTGTTAAATATCTAACTGTCTCATATTCGATGAAATACGTCTAAAACCATCTCATATATGTATAGTATTTGGAAAATAAGTTTCAGGCGGGACAGTGCTATAGTTATTGAGGAGTAGTTGTAATAAAGTGCGTATTTTAGCGTTACCAAGAGAATGACAGATAGACAGACAGACAGACAGACAGACAGACAGACAGAAATTGAGATAAGGTTTGATTCGGTTTCTCTGACCTATGAAATGTAAAAATAACCAAAAAGTTCATTATTCTAAGCAATGTACAGACAAAACTCTAATTTTATTTATATAGAAGATGATTTGTAATATGATCTTTATCACCGCGATTATTAATAATTATTTATGATCATTCCAAGCCAAGGCCATTTTAAAGCTCTCTTCTCATTGGTTGATATAGTTTTTAGGGATTATTTCAACGTTTGTACATGCTTTTAATGAGTTAGTTATTGTAAATAGCCAAATATTTTGAAACTAATCTATTATAAAATGGATTCTTTATGTAGGTAACTTTTATTTTATGTTATTTAATGTACTTATATGATATTTTCCGCATTTTTTGAGGCAGGTAACGAAAACTCAAATCTTTAGCCTAGGTTTGGTCATGGGATAGGCTACGACATCAAGATTATTTTAGAGGGTTAATGCTACTATAAAACTTTATAAAATGGACTTTTTATGTAGGTAACTTTTATTTTATGTCATTTAATGCACTTATGTGATATTTTCCACATTTTTTGAGGCAGGTAACGGAAACTCAAATCTTTAGCCTAGGTTTGGTCATGGGATAGGCTACGACATCAAGATTATTTTAGAGGGTTAATGCTACTATAAAACTATTTAATTTTATATCTAGGTTGTATATAGCAGTGAGCTATGTCATCTAGCCTATATTTCAGTCAATCTAAAATGAAGAAAGTTGTCTGGTGTTTATTTCAATTAAGCCTACTAGGAAATCCTCTCAATAACCTAACATTTTAAAATGGTGTACCGGTACTTGACTTCTTAATTTATTCAAACGGTTTATATTTAATTTATGAGATATCCATCGCTGATCCTTTCTAGATATAAGGTATTGTGAAACCACAGTAATCAATTTGATGCTGCAACCTTATTGTAAAACAGCTATGGTAAATCAAGAAATAATTTGAAGTTTATTTTCATACTTCTGGATTCTGTTGGTGGATTAAGTTAACGGTTAACGACATACCCCTCTGATTTTATGGAAATTTAAATTTAATAGAAACATTAAATTGTAACTTTTACTTACAACCTGTTTTAGTCCCCTTGGGTTTATAACAATTTTTAAAAGGAAGTTGAAGGGTTGTTTTGATAGTTTGTATAGCTTAAAATATTGGCTATGAACTGGTAATTGTTTTAAAAAATATTATCATTTAGCCTATTTTTAACAACTTTTGTCCTACCTTCCCCTTATGTAAATAAGATTTGATGTTTTAAGTACCGGTATTCAGAGCCTACTTAATCGAAAGTTTTCCAATTTGATAATACTGTATACAGGGTGGCTGAAAAGTAATTTGCCCTTAAATTTTCCAACCATTTGATATATTTGAAATTGGTTTGCGACAACCTTCTTAGATATGAAGGACTACAATAATTATTGTTATTTTTTTATTTTCCCCTTAGGTCTAGGTGGTAGCTCAAAATGTTCAATCGGGAAGTAAGAGCAAAATGTCAATGGGGAGACTTTGGCAAAATGACACCAACAATTAAAATCCAATTAACATGAGGGTGGCTTAAGTAACTTGCACCCTTAACTTTTTAACTATTTTAGATAATTAAAATCAGTTTGCGGC